GATCAATTTGCAGAGCAGGAGTTAAAAACGTCTAAAGCAAGTTAACATCTGATTGAAAACAAAAACAAATGTTTCATGCAAACTGTGTGAATTACAGCCAGGGTCTAGAGCTGCATAAACAGAAACAAAAGTGATTTAACTCCTTAATGGCAGAGAATTGATGAGTAAGACTGCATGTGAAAGATCTATACACCCAAAGTGCTTTATTAAGCTAAAGTTGCCTATGGAGCCATTAAACACTCATCTTACTATGGAGGATTGGGGAAATCATATACACACATCCCTCCTCTATTAACTCCTCAATGCAGTTAGTCAAGTACAAACTATTAAAGCGGTCTAACCCCCCTCACCTCCCTTTCCTCACCTGCTGAACGCAGCAAATGTGCTGATTCCCTTACATTGGAAATCCACCTCACCTCAATATAACTCAATATAGGTGCAATCAAATTTACATCAGAATATTGGTTTAGACAATTTTTTGACTAAATTATATCAAGAGGTTCCCTTGTGGAGTAAATTCAAATGGAAGTGGGTATGGAGTGGTGGTGGCCCCTGTTAGGGAGATGTTTAGGAAATTTAGCCAACAGGGTCCAAATTTCGGTGTATAATTGCTGTAAATTGTTCATGTTTAGCCTGATACCCAATTAGGGATCTAAAGCTAAACATTTGCAATATTTGGTCTGCTCACACTAATTCACTCCTTGAAATATTGTCTTAGACCTTCCAAAAATTAACTAAAATCCTAGACATGAGGAATTTCAATAATCAGGACTAAATTAACCAATTTCAAGTTATTTTTCTTTAGTTGCATAGAAATTATGGATAATCAAAACTGCAAAAAAAAAAATACATTATTTAAAATATGTTATTCCTAGTTATTGTTTTACGTATACATAGTGGGCATTGGAAGAAATCCCTATCTGTCCTTTAAAAATGATTTATAAACTGGATGGGTACATGTAAATAGAAACAGATATGTTACAGTGAAACTAACATATAGAAAAGGTTCTAGAAAGCTCTGTTACAAACACGGAATCTTGGAAAGGCCATGGTCATGAAAGGGTTAAACCCCTTTACTCTGTGTTAGCTGCAGCTTTATCCCTCTATCCTTGCATTGTGACTTCATTAATTATCTGCTTTGTGCAGCAGTTATGATGTCATGATGCTACAGCTGACATCACACTAGGTCTGTCCTTTTCACTTCATTCATTCAGAACGTTCGAGGCAGACAGTGCAGCCATGAAGACTGTCCTGTTTTTTCTTTTCTTTTCATTATTAATTTCATCCTCTGGATATCTGAGACCATCAATTCTAGAAGTGAGTATATCCTACACACAGATAGCTGCGATTTACACCATATTTCTAGAATAACTTCATTTCTATAACCTGTCTTCTAACCTGAGATCTGGGTTTATACACCAGCCCTGTACACAGTGTATAATGTGGGCTATGGAGGAAATCTGTTCTAAATCTGACACTAAACTCTCCGCTCCCTGGCTGATCTATGATCTGATTGGCTGACGGTAACAAAGTATTAAGTCATATCTTAGCGTTTCATTATACAGAAACCGTAATATCTCTACAGACAGTGAGCAGAGCTGATCTGAGGGTTCTTGGCTGCAATGGAGAAACTGCTCTCTCACCTTTGGCATTACAGCCATGTATAATATAGTGCCATTTATAGATAATAGCAATGTATCTATCTATAATGTGCTGATAAAATTACATTCTTAGTGACGTTTGCAGACGGTATTTCTGTGCCTATAGTATACAGATATAAAAATCAAACTATGCCAAGCAGTGGGTAAGTGTGCGTCCCCATGTTAGCATTGTATGACGTGCACGGTGGGATCTAGCAATGGGCATCACATAGAAAGGACCAAATTAATTAACTGTATCGAATTTCTGGTAAAAGCACATATATTAATTAGTCATGGGCTTATACTCCCAGCATGGTTTGTAAATACCTTTTATTGGCTCTAATATTACACGGCCTTTATATAAGGCATCCACCTACCCATGTATTCTATCATTAGGGTTCATTAATTTATATGGATTTATAAATTACATATTTTTGTCTCAGTAGATACTTTGCCTTTGAGCTGAAAGCAGCCCAAATGAAGTGTTAGACTAGGAATCACCTAATAGATTTACCACTATGTTGGCAGGTGAGCTAACACTTTATGGACATTCAGTTCTACTAAAACATTGGGATTTGGGTAAATGTTCTCGCTTTGCTTTATTGATGCTGATTGTAGTAGAACAATATAATGATTGTATTATACGTTAATGAAGTGGGCATTGATAACAGGTCTTAACAAACGTAACTAAATTCCCTTGTTGTAGAACTGATCACGTTTTTTTAATTGGGACTGTATTATACTTCATCACCAAGGAAGGTGTGGTAATGGAATAAAACCCTTCCATAGACTTTGCACATAGTATATTGCAAATACAGTATGTATAAATTATTGTCTGAAAAACTAATTTTGCATCAAAAGCTGCACTAGAACTTTTTTTGTCTAAGAATCTATTAACAACACACTTTAAGACATTTTCACTTCCATATTTTTTTAGTCCATGAAAACCAACTTCTGCCGGTGTTTCTACCTGGTGGTCGGAAGAATGCTCAGCCTGGTGATTGGCTGTGGAGGGAACCAGGAGCTGGTTGATGATGGAAG